TCTTCCTCATTCTTCCAGTGCCATTATTGCTTGCCAATTCAACTCACGTCTTTAATTGTTACATAGGTTTGCTGTGGGTTATCCAATATTATGATAAAGCATGTAGGGCTTTAACACCGGGTCCTCTTAACAAATATGCATCCTCGGGCTCGTCGGCGATCATTTCATCTCGCAGGGCATGAGAGAGGACCAGCTGGCACCGCGCCAGACGCTTTACAGGTGCAGGCGGCACAGGGGCGGGGTTGGGCGGCGGGAGGACGCCGCGGGGCGGCGACCGGGGCCGGGCTGGGCGGGGCGTGGGGCTCGAAGGGGCGGGGCTTGGGGGGATCCGGAAGTGGGGGGCGGGATCTGGGCGGAGGGAATGGGGAGGAGCCTGGGGCGGGGCCGAGACGTCGGTGCCTGAGGCTAGGGTCGCGCGTCCAGCGGCTGAGAAGGGCGTGCCGAGGCACGAGCGGGCGGGGCCCTGCGGGGGGGAGGGGTGCGCGGCCTGGGGGACCGAGGGAAATAGACGCGGAAGACTATAGTGGAGGCGGGGTCGGCCAGCGCGGTGGGTCACGCCTGTAATCCCAGCACTTTGGGAGGCTGAGCCCAGCAGTTGGAGGCCAGCCTGGGCAACACAGCAAGACCCCATCGCTACAAAAAATAACCGCGCTTGTAGTCCCAGCTACTTTGGAGCCTGAGACGGGAGGATAGCATGAGCCTAGGAGTTCGAGGCTGCAGTGAGCCATGATGGTGCTACCACACTCCAGTGTAAGCAACAGAGTGAGACCTATCTCTCAAATTAATAATAATAGTGATAGTAATAATAATAATAATGCCAAGAACCCAAGCGAAACAAGGGGAAGGTTCCTGGAGGATGCAGACCTGGAGAAGAAGCCGGGTGCAGCCAAGTGCTGGGCCTGACATTCCCAAGGACTCAGTTTGGAGAAGGCTCAGACGCTCCGAGGGCCAGGATGGTGCTGTCTGGAAGCGGATTCAGAAGCATCTGTGATGGAGGTGTTGGCTCTGCAGCAGGAGGCGCTCTTGGAAGCAGAAAACGAGTGTGGAATGGGGAGAGAAATGGGGGAAATCCGCAGGACACTACCGTACAGGACCACCGGTCTCTTTCTGATTACCTCCAGCGATGGCAGGGAGCTCGCCATCTCATAGAGTAGTCAATTCAGGCTGCAGGTAGTTGGCGATTTCATTTACCTACCCATGCATCAACCCAATGTTGATTGGGTGCATCCTGTGTTAGACTTGGGGTTACAGAGATGGCTGAGACTGTGCCTCTGTCTCTAGTTGTTCACATCCTAGGGAAGGAGGCAGACTTCACTCAGCAATTACAACGCGATGTGTTAAGACTAGAACAGAGGCAGGCGTTCTTCTAGAGAACAACTAAGTCAGATCACTAAGCAAGTGACCCGCATTGAGTTCTGAAAGGTGAGCAGGAGTTCTCCAGGTAGGGTTGGGGGAAAAGGCAAGTCAGTAAGAGGAGCAGTTCACAAACCCTTGTTGTCTGGAGAAGGCTTGGTATGTTTGGGGTACAGCACTGGGTAACTGTGACGATGACAGCGTAGGGTGTTGTGTAGAACTGGTTGGAGAGGCCTAGGGGCTTGGACTCTGTCCACAGACTATGGGGAGCTATTGAGGGACTTTAAGCAAGAAGGGTCTGCTCAAATCAGAGTGGACAGAATGGCCTGGAAGTGGGGTGAGCGTTTAGGAGTCTGTTGTCGTGGCCAGCTGATAGGGCCCAAAAGGAAGAGGTATCCTGGGAAGTGGTAGG